TTGAGAGTTTCTTCGTGCGAGTAAAACCAATACGCAGTTTGTAATTGTCCAATGCGCCTACGCCGGTTTAGTATGTTGTAACACGGGCTGTAGGTATAAATAACAGTTAATTTCTCGCGTCACGCTCGGTTCGGTGGCGTCGCGTGCTCACCCGGCTTCCTGCTTCGCTTCGACAGCTAAGAATCTACGTTCCATGAAGGTCCGATTTCTTATCGGCCCATTTGCCACATTACTGCATTCCTGGTACTCTTATTTCTATGAGCAATAATCATGAGTCTTAATAATTAGCGATTAATTTACGACGGTCGAAGAAGTTTTGACATTTTTTAGTAATCATTTTTGACTCGTCTCGTAGCCAAGCCAAACAATTACAGAACGATAGTAAAGTTCAAACATCGTAGGTAAATCATTTTGTAATTGATAATTGATCTTGGCTCTGATCCCAGATATGTATATTATTACCGCGACTTATCTCGCTTTATAATTTAGAAAAAAGTCAAGGTGTATTCATATACAAATAAGATATGACGATCTTTATTATATGTATTCATATACAATACCAACGGTCATGTTACGATTTTTTTATTTTTGTTCTTTTACGGTATAAAAAATAATCAAGTTTATATGTATTTTAATCAGGGTATAAAAGAAGGATAAATAAACACACTTTCGCTGAGTTGTAAATGCTAATGTAAAGCCGGTTACTGAAACTAAATCGACAGGTCATTCCTGCGTTCTGGATCAAACACTTGCGGCATAATATCAACATACATTTCATAAATTACGATGGATTTAAATACGTGAATGCTCAAACTTTATCGCCGTGAACAATGCACGCGTTAAAATTCCGTCTGAGAAATTATGATAACGGTGTTATGCATAACACGAAATGTGCAAGCGAAATACCAAAGTAAAGAAACTGAAGGGCATATCGTGACGGCATAATGCCTATTACAGCTGATCTTGTTTTATTTTCGATTTATAATGAACACGGCTGTTAGACTTACTCATTTTCTGACAAATAACATGTATACTTACCTAGGTACCCTATAGGTATTTACGTAATACAACTGTTTGTTGTATAAAATTTATAAAAAACTTACGTTCTTCCCGTACCGTTACACAGGATTCGTATAAATTAAACTGCTGAAAGTATAAGTTTTACTATTCTAAACTTCCGTCAAGCAGCGTATTTAACGAGTTATATGCGCTATTTTTGACACGTTTTAAACCCCATTATTTTATCAGTCGACTTAAAACACATTAAATCAAAATTGAAAATTGAAAACTGCACTTAAAACGATCATAGTACACTTCGACCATATCTAAAGATATGACAGAAAGATACATTTATGTAGTTGAGTCAAGATGAAAAGACCGGAAATATTAGTAGAGTTTTACCAAATCTGGTTGTCGTATGGTGGTGTTGATTGCATAATTTTGGAAAGCTTGTTATTTATAAAATCTGGTGGAACGAGTACTTTGTGTCTTTGTAAACCAAGGTCCAAAGGTGTAATCATCGAGAGCTCATCAGAACTTGTTATGTTGAATCGATGGTACGGAGGCCGCTCAGGTTTCGAAGGGCTTTAGCGAGGTCACACAACACACTGTTGAACACTAAAGTACTTCCACCCACTCATTAAAATTACGCATTCTGATTTGTTGTCCAGTATAGACCACGTTTATAAACAAATCTTCTACCTACTATTGTTGTATATCCGTAATTTTTTTTTCAACTAATCGTCATCTTTAATTAGATTTCCGAATATCTAAAATAGTCACAAAATGATTTTTCTATCACAAAATCATTCTTAGATATTACGTATTCTGATTTAATCTAGTATGTTCCGAAAATGTTTTAAACAACGTAATTACGAAATGAAAATATATTTAAATTTCTCTGCCTCTTTGTGATAAATGAAAAAAAAAAAAAGAGCTTTCTTGTTGATATGCCCATATTTAATTTAAATTGTATAATATGACGAATAGTCTGCTCTAGAGTTACGAACAAACCTACCCGCAAATTAAAAATTATCAAGCTAATGATTTGAATCAATAGCAGCTTAGTTGCTTAGTAGCTTAGTTGGTTATCAGCTGTTTAAATGCTTCTCACATACCAGCTTTCTCACACGGCATGTGTTTACAAAAGTACCAGGGACATCTTAGGCAAATAAACAGTGGTATCTACCAAAACTAAGATACGCTTTCCCCGCTAGCCACGGCCCCGTTCGCTTGATAAGTGGCCTAAGGGCTCGCCCCGCCCCTCGCACCCCTCTGACCCAGTTCCCGCCTTCGCCCTAGCGATCTTTGTGCACGCCATCGCTACTTGCACAACTGGGCTCGTATCAACTATCAGCTGTGTAATTATTTTGATATAGAACCATGCTGGAGCATCGCAACGTGCTCTCTAGAAATGCTAATCATTTATTTGTTTTAATTATCTTTTAGGTTTTTACAGTGGGTTCCGTGCTATAGGGCTCTAATGTGGGATCCATCTTTGTTGCACATATTTTTAGGTGGTAACGGTATATACATATTATGTCAAGTAATAATGGCAATATTCTTTATAAAAAAAACACATATGTACTAACATACATTATTGCTAGAGTCTCATATAGATTTTTAAAAAATCTAAACGTGCATTTGATACGATTTTATTAAACGTTGTACGTAAAGAAATGGATTAACGTTTTTCATTATCTGTGTTACAGACTACATCAGCCTTTTGAATATCTCTGCGTTGGGAGCTGTAACTTTTAATTTCTTTCCTTTTATCTGTGGTAATTACACACAAAGGACATTTTCGCGCGTGCTCAATAAAGTTGATACAAAACCTTGCGACAGAACAATAGTCTATAAAATGTTTGCGTACCAGCAATAAGCTCAGAGATAAGACACCCGTTGGTCTGTACAAATAAACTATGATATCTCGCTGTTTGTTTCTTAAGTACTGTCTTCTACTTGGTTTAGTCTATAATTTATATAACATAGTACTACAACTCGGGAAAATAAAATTACTAAACACAAACGGTGTATCGAGGGCGTAACAAAATTATTGTGACCGATTTTCAAAAATCGTTAAAAAATAATAGCATACGAAAATCTCGATAACTCAAATCACCGTTTTGTAGAGGAACTACAGTTTTGAGGTGCTCTTTGTGTAATAGTAGCAATGTTACCAAGGGGTCGTGGGTTCACCGACCGGGTCGAACATCTTTTTAATCAATTTATGATTATTTTGAAACTTCGTCGTTGGACTTTGTCTGAAGTTTAAATATTAAATATATGGTAAAATTCTGTCCGGATGAAGACCACCGTCCACAGTCGTGAAGTTCAATCGTATTTCGGTTTGAGTCTGTGAATTTCCGCATAGCTATCTAAAGTCAAACCAGGTCGACAACGGATTTTGTGGAGATGTTATTGTTTCATAAATAATAAAAATAACATCTAAGCTTGATAGTTGAACCGTTTGCTTTTCAAAACGTGTAGGGAAAGCATAATTATAAGCTTATCGCTTATGTGATATATATAACCTATGTGCAATATAATTCATCTATTATCTATTTAAAGTATAAACTCCCGATTCTAGTTAGAATGTTGGCGGGAAAAAAATGAATCTTATTGGAGTTACGAAATAAATTATTTGGAACGAACCAGAATGAGATCAAGTAGGTAAACAAAACAAATGAAATCTTTGTGCTCGTGCGTTGGCTTTGATTTCTCACTCTTGGCGGGAGAGCAGTGCAATGGAAAGACGGCGTCTATTTATAAATGAACAACATTGGATTCGAGCGAACGCAACGTCGCGTTCCGTTGATTCGCGCTTTCATCGTTTCTCTTCTTAGTCCGTTGAATGTTCCATGTTTAAAGTACAAAGAACGTCACATGATATGGTGATTTTAAAATTAGAACTACCATAACGGTTATCTACTTCATAACAGACATGGTCAGTTCCAAACAGTAGATTAGGTAGATACCACGGGGCGCAGACTGAATACTCAATCGTTAGTGAGTCTTAATACATATATGATAGACCAGCTAAAGCAATAAAGACAAAAATAAAACGCCGAAACGTAAACAGGTTTAAGAATCCGTAAACGAACTCGACGCTAAAAATGTAATGGTCGCTCCCAACGAATTCCCTTTGATGTTGATAAAGGCCGATGATTTGTTCACTTCTCTTTTTTTACGAAATCGTTAAGCTCTCGTTGGTTTTGTTGGTTATTTTTTGTCACAGGTTCGACTTGGGTGCGGGGACTGGACGGCGGACAGCGATATGGCTTGGTTCAAACGCTACGGCCGGTGCATCGAACGCGCTAAGAGAGGGGTCGATGAACTCCAACTCAAGTGCATTCAATTTATGTATACGTATTTAGACCTAAATATAGGTAACAAGTGTTCATTGTCAATTAGATACAGGTTTAGTTAAGATCTCTTGATCGTTTAGCGTAATAATCTACGTTGCGTAATTTGATACTTTTCTTTAATACGGAAGTGAGGGGCGTCTCTTATTTCTCATTATGATATTTAGGTGTTTAAGTGGTTTGGTTTTTAACTGCTCGCTACATGTCGGAATTTAAAAACAACAAATTGAAGTAGGTATCTTGTGAATTAAATATCGTACTTTATTTCTCCCTGACATTAGTTTTGAAGTTTACTTAACAAGTAGATACCAACTACTTACCTGCCCACTGCTAATTCAAATAATAATGAATTCTAATAAGTTATTCAAAATAAGAATCTGAATTTAATCGTATCTGGTCACTCAATAATCCTATTGGTAATTATTTATACATTATAATATACCCTTTTTTTTCTTGAATAATAATAATATTAAAACACCTTGCTAGTTAGTACGTTACGTAGACATGGTAAGGTATAAACTTACGCGGAAGTACAGTATACCGAGTTTCATGATTAAACACTGTTCCCTATTCAAATTGTGACTGAAACTATCTTTAAAAATAAGTAAAGAAGAGAAAGGTCAAATTAAAAGTTACCTGAAGATCCCTATTCTTGTTATCTTTATGAGAAGCTGCTCTGATAACACCAGCTTTCCAGCCCCATTCAGAAGCTTTATTCACGTCAATTTTTGTTACACCACACACTGATAGAAAACGTTTGCCAACTAAATCTTCGCGATATCTAAATGCCATAACGAACTGCACAATCACATCATTCACAGTAAAAACACACAAACGTCATAAAACGCTCAAACGCATAGTACACTTCCCCGTACGCCGAGCGAAGAGAAACTATGAAACTGGATATCATAAAAACTCTGGCGAGTCGGGTAATGGTTACCCGAACTAATTTAAAGGAGGCAACATACAATCCATTCTGTTAGATAACAAAGACCATCCACACTGAGTCGCGTAATAAACAGCCGAGCATTATCCGATCATTTTAAAAAGGAATGGACGTTAAGGACTTTACGTAATATTAAAGTAGTGTCTACGTTAGCAGCGTTGTCACGTAAGAGTTGATGTATCACATAAGTTAAAGCAAAGATGTCGTGGATATCAAATATATATAATACTTTAGAATTTTAGATGGCGGTGTAATAAAAATTAAACATAAAGTGTTATAAAACAGTGTATATAATAAGGATACAATATATACTTTATTGTTCTTTGAATTGAATTTATATTCATGGAAATATAGTTCTTGTACGTGATATATGTTTAATAGAGTATTATGTATTAATATAATCAAAAAGTAAATAGAACATAAAATAATTCTATTATTTCACGCTGCATACAATAATACATGGTTAAACGGCCAATGTTTTTGTTATATTTGAATTGAAAATTTAAGGTTTTGAACGAACCTGTCATATTGATTTTGTCACGTGATCAAAACATATTCGATTTTCAATATGGCGGAATTGTCATTTTACAGGGCGGTTGTGTTTTGTCATGTTTTCTTTTGTGATAGATTTTGTTGATCTTTTATCGTGAATTTAATATGATATCTTCCATAATATCGCGGTTGGTCATGTAAGTTTACTTATGTATTATTATTTAAAATGTATAAATAATTGTTAATATTTAACAAAAATAACAATTAGTTTTGTTTGACAAATGTCTTTGTTACACACGCGCAATTACGTTTTGAGATTTAACACTTTATTTGTACTAAAAATAAGAAAAGATGTTTACTAAGTTTTAGAAAATACAACAATATTTTGAGTAAATAATATTTTCTTAAATTATTCAGTGTACCAAAAAAAAATCTCTGTCTCATTTAAATAAATCGTTACTAAATTCGATCAGCTGATCGGTACACAGCAAAAATGTGGTGCTTTTAATTAATGTTTCCAAAATTTCTTACAATATTGTTAACATTTTTATGATTTGCTTTAATTAAAATCAAACTAGGTATTTGTTGATATATTATGTGATTTATAAACTAAAAGATTATATTGTCTGTTTTCACTCCTTTGCCTAACAACCAATTTTGTGAAGCAAATTTCTCTTTATTATGTAATTAGTCAAATATTACAGATTAGATGACTTTCTTTTTTAATAATGAGATGTATTGTATTTCTCAATTTATAGTGTAATCATCTATAGAACATAAGAAACATGTAGAACATAATATGCTTTGCCCTGCATGTTATTTTTTTTCTTCCATAGATGGCATTAGTTAAACACACCTATGAAGCTATCTCATATTACATACATACTATATTGTTGTTAATATTTATACAAAAATTTCAAAACATAAATTTGAAAATTTTAATATTGCAACCATTGATGAGACAAGGGAGACTTAATTAATGATCCGCAAGTTATGGTGGTATTGCTCTGTGGTATTAAATATGTATGTTTTTTTAATCTATTAAATATTCTCTCCTGAGCATGTACTTGATGTATTATAGAGACTTAAATTTATATTAATTTTAACAACATATAAAACACATAACCAATAGGCATAATAGCGAGAAGTTTTATTATATATTAAAAATCATTATTACAAGAGAGTTAAAATTCAAATCAAATCATTAATCAACAAAATAACTTTATATGTGGCACACATGTTAACTATAACTTTAACACAGCTGGCAATGCTCCAATATTTCTTAAAACAGAACTATCCCAGTTTTTGGCAGCATAGAAGCATGCTCTTTTTATACTCATTGCATTCAGTCCTGTTTGACTGAAGACATTATTATTGTTTTTAATATTGGATAATCTATATTCAACAATATGTTGTGTTAACAAAATATTGTTGAAAATAGATTATCCAATATTAAAATCAATGTGTAAACAAACAAAGAAGCTGTTTCTTGTTTCGGAATTGGTCATAAAAGTGGCCCATTGCACTGCCGGGTGCTATTTTCGGCCATCCATCGTTGTTGGTGGCAGCGAAGACTTTAGTCTGTGACGAACGCGGGTGCTCGCTCATACTGCAACCAAGTGCGTTGACACCTAACTGTACTGTGATTCATTTATTGTCAATCGGTCCTTCAATAATTATTGTGTGTTCCGAGTGCGTCCGACTTATTCGTTTCGTTCTGAGGTCGTACACCTTGACTGAGAAATATTAAGGCCTTATGCGGAGTGGTCTTGCCTTTTTGGGACCAACCTTCTTTCTGTCCTTACCTAGTTACGCGGTTCATACGTCTTGTATGTATATCCATTATGTCTTCTCAGATAAAGCCCGAAATTTCGCATAACTATCTATTATAATAATCATGTGGTTGTTATTTATATTTAGTTAATTGAAATATAGAGAATGTATTTTTAAATATTATTCTTTTATTTAATTTCCAGCAAAAAGACAATTGAAAATGTTATTTTCATTCAGTGCTCTCTTTTGACGATACATTGTCGGATTAATTGGTTAATTGTCACATCCTTTAGCAAGGCAGAGCGGACGTACTTTGTGTAGTAATCAGTTGATTCTAATATTTATAGTTCTTGCCTAAAACTACAACCACTACTTTTATATCTAAAATAACTCAAAGTAATGACAGTACCACTATTTTACTTTATTTCTTGTTACCAAATCAATACGCGGTTTCAACACCCGACTAATTTAAAATTGTAATACTGAACGCTTGACTAACTGCGTTTACCGGAAACTCTTTATATAATTATTTACAAATATATATTTGAACCAAACACGATACAACATGTGTGATACGATCATTTTACCGATATATTTCCTTCAGAAAAAGAAGAGCTCTCCTTGAAGGCTGACCAAAAATTTCTGTTAAGTAAAATTTTAAGCCTTAATTTAATTTTAAACATAATCATAGTTGGTGAAAGTTTCCATATTATCATAAATAATTACATTACATAAATTAAATCTATTATTTTGCTCACGATTCAGGTATTGTTTGATATTCTAATACATTTACAACCGAGAGCCACAATTATCGAGGCATATTGCATTAGCCCTATGCACTTAATAATAATTAAAAGTTTAATTATTCCAAACCATTCCTCACTTGTAAGTTGCATACTAAATATTTGGCGTGTCAACCTATTTTCTTATATGGTCGCCCCACCTTTGTCGTGACAAAAAGTCCACAACTCCTTAAGCTGCTACCATTTCAAAATTTGAACGAGTTCTTAACTCATATTTTTGAATAGGTTTGTCGAAGGTAGGTGGGGAATTTAGTTCTTATCATCATATACTGATTTTAATTATACGTAGAAGAGAAAGACATTCCGCATCACAATATGACACTTTGAGTTGTAAGCATGTATCACGATACGCTGGCCATATATGGCTCGTTTAGGAGAGCCCAAGAATCAAAGAATCTATTAAAATTATTATCCATAAAGCACGCTTCGAGAATGATTTCGGGTGCATCGCTTACCGGAACAGGGGTACTTGACCTAAATGTTATGCGGCATACCGGGAGTCTATAAGTAGACAATGCAAGAGGTATCATTTTTCTGAAGTGAATGTTGTTCAGAATATTTATAATGTGCACTAATCCTAAGGAAATGTTTCTTATTTGGGCCACACGAGATGCTCGGTGATGCATGGTTTATTTTCGGATTACTGTGCAACTAACCTGGATTTACTACCCTTCTGTAGTCATATGATCCTGATGAATTTCAGGGAATATAATAAAATAGGTGGTAGTATTGTATGTATTTCTCGATTTCTGTTTTCTAAATTTTTTTGCTACAAGTTAAATTCACTGGTTCTAGTTGTAGTCAAACTTGTGTCGAAACCACCTTGCTACATCTCATACATTTGTTCAGCCAGGTGTATGTTTTTGTGTGTATGACTGACTAAGTGCGTGTGCGCAAATGTGTATATTTAATGTAGAAACGAATTACTTTAAACCTGCTGCTATAGCCATTTTGTTGATTCCTATACAATTAGGTATATATTATAACATACATCTGATATTACTGTATTTATATACAGTCGGTATTGTTGAGCATATTTGCTTGTCTATTTATACTGTTACACGAGCGTGCATCTGTGCAATTGTATCATTTATGTTTAAAGATCCTTGCAGTTTATATGTTTGGGGTCAGCAAATTTATAGAGTTGGTGTAGCTTTATTTCTTTGTTATAGCTATTTTTTTATAAGTACTTTACTCAACTATTTGTGATATATGTGACTGAATGCTAATCGCTTCTAGGCACTTAATTGTTCCCATAGACCAATCATAGAAATGGTTCGTTTTAAATTAATTTGAATAACCTATATACTATATTCTGCTCCCGTGTGTCTTTTATTTGTGAATAGTTCACCTTGATAATGGCAGGGGCAATCAGACAGTTTAAAGCAATTTAAACTCAAGACAGCACAAATGTCTGCTGTCCGGTCGTTTATTATTCATCAATTACTGAAATTGAACTCGTGTTTACGTGCACTTTATATTGATTTATACGTTTGCTTTTGATATTAACGATGATTTTCAAAATTAATTCGGTGTAAAATGTGTTTTAATATACGAAAACGATAGTTACCTATAATCAACATATATCTTCAAAGAAGATTTATAGAATATTTTTTTACAATAAATATCCTTCCTTCAAAGTTCAAGCCGCAGTCGCCCACGAGACGTGCTTAGTCATGAAACTTTCTAAAATTAACTCGCAGGTAAATTACAGTTAAAAATCCTTCCTCGAACTTTGTTCTCTCAATTCAGAAATCAACATTACAATTATGACCTAAATATTAAATCTATAAACACGCAATTCTTCGTATGTATTCCATCTTTCAGTCTCAATAAAGCGCTCAGGGAGTGCACATCAGAGCAAGATGAATTAAGTTGTTCGCACTCGAATATAACATGCATTATACGCAGTGTACACAAATTTCGATGTAGCCGAATCCATGGAAGCGAGTCGCACGCGTCACCGTGACGACCACCCCGGCTTGCCGACGTTAAGTCTCGGAGTGTCTAGTGTCCGCCACATTGTCACAAAACTAGAGACTCAATACGCTCGTGCCGTTGTTACACAGTTAAAGCCACTAGTGAAATACGAAGCGAACTCTCTCGTGCAAAAATCTTATGACTTCTCTCTCGCTCCACCGAGAGTCCAAGTCCTCAGTGGATTCCTTGATAACTTTGCGAATGCCGTACAGCGATGCATCCCTAGCGTGACATTCGCAAATTTCGGCGTTTTGTCCGTCGTGACCGGACTCTTTGCACCAAGGATGATCTCTTATTTGGTGATTTATCCGTTTTGCAGATTGGTATTTGGAACGCTTTATCCGGCTTACGCATCATACAAAGCTGTGCGAACGAAGAATCTCAAGGAATATGTGAGTAATAAGATGCCTTTATTATTTAGCGTAAATTATTATATGAAGTAGAGTTTTACAAGTCCTTTTTTTGAAGCATACATGTGTGAATACAACTCACTGGATAAATAAAATAGGACTTTGTTAAAATAGTAATTGTGTCAGTTATCTGTTTTAAATTGTCATTGTTTTTTAAATTGCAAATAAAACCAATTGAAATGTAAGCGTAAATAAACGTTTACACAACTAGCCTTGGAATAGGCACAAGCGTATCTTGCTCGAAACGCTTCAGTTCTTGTGTCCTTTACCTTCTCTAACGATTTGTAATTACAAAACATTTAGGTACAAGAAAATTGTGTGCAAATTCTAGTAAGTTTACTACTAATTTATGTACTGCTATTACTTGTTACTACTTTGTGTCCATTACTAACAAAGGATGAGACTAATCGGAAATAGTAATTATTTTCAATACACGGAATTAGCATCAAAACAATCGTTCAAAGCGTTTCGAGTTTGTTCCTTTTTCAAAACTGATAAATCAATGAAGTTGAATAAGCTTGTAGTTATACTTGCTATTTGTTTTGATTTTTTGTGAATGGTAAAATATACATGTGTATATCAAAACGGGATTGCAAACTAGGCCTGTCCTAGCGAAAGATAAAGCCAGTGCTCTAGTGAAGATACAATAAGGAACAACATATTAGCATATACTATAAATATCTCGTTTGTTTATTAAATGAAGCTGTGACGTTTGTTATGAGTACAGTCAACATGTGTCTTTGTTTATCACGAATCGTAAGGTGTAATTGTAAGATGGAAATCTTATTTAACCTTTTATGATTTATTCTTCTATAATTTAGAGCAAATTAAGTTGCTTTGTTCTACCAAAGCTTCGTCTCTGCAAGTTCGTGATGAGGACGTGAGGTGTAATGTCCGCAAAATCTTTTTACGACTTAGTGTTGCTTGATTAATATCGTATTTTTGATATATAAAATAGCTGAAACGTGACTAATTATATTTCATTCGAATTACAGGTAAAATGGATGATGTACTGGATAGTGTTCGCACTCTTTACGTGCACGGAAACATTCACAGATGTGTTTCTCTCCTGGTTCCCGTTCTACTACGAAGTGAAAATAGTTCTAGTCTTATGGCTCCTGTCGCCGGCTACCAAAGGTTCCTCCATACTTTATAGGAAATTTGTACATCCGGCGTTGTGTCGTCGTGAGCAGGTATATTATTTTTCTAACATTAATTGCTGTTAGAACCGCGATTTACTGTTTAACGATGTTTAACAACAATCTAAGCTTAAATGCAAAATATAAACCAATAGGTCAGCTTTGTAATTGGTACTTCCAAAAGATAAGCAGTCATCGAGTCATCGAGAATCTCTCATAAACATCTAGTACAAACTAATAGACATATTAATATGATTATATATTAAAGTACCCTTTTTATACTATGCATTTATTCTTAACATGAATCAAAGTAGCGGTTTCTTCAATCTTCAGTGTCAAGGTCTTCATTGTGATTCAAAAATTAACATTCGAGCTATTGTTATCAACACGAGTAGAATAAAGTTCAGTACACGCAGTAACGCAATATCGTTAAAATCTTCTAAACTTTTCGTCCATATTATGTTTAATTTACATAATATTATTTCTAACTGATATCCATTAAGTAAGAATTTTTATAATACGTATCGTTCTAGTATTAATACCACTGTAAAAAGAAGGAAATAATATTTAACATTTTCGTATTGATGATATACATGTGTTTGTATATTCCAGGAGATCGATGAATACATAGCAAAAGCCAAAGATCAGGGTTACCACACGGTGCTGAATCTCGGCACGAAAGGCGTTAATTATGCCACTACCGTCATTATGCAAACAGCCATTAAGGTAAGTTAGTGTGAAATTCAAAAAGCCTTACGCATGCTTTCTTTAATATTTACTCAAATAATAACTGGTCAATTCATATATCAGAACGTAATAAGAATTAATTTAGTAAAATTTTATTTCATGATCAGTTGTTGTTGAAGTACAATGCAAGGTTTATGGTATAACATTTTAAAATTGTGTTTAGAAAACACTGATTGTTAAATCTAAAATGTGTATAGAAAATTGTAATATTTAAATATGAAATGAAGGTGGCATGCTTAGTTACGTATATGATTGTCTGTAGTTCACGCTAGTAGTCATGTTTCGCGTTTTGAACAGTTAAAATGGTTTGCGTATAATGTAGAATAAACCTTTCGGCATTTATCGTACGTATGTAAAATAGAATACATCATTTTGTGCACAGTTATAATTTACACATTGTGACCATAAGCGTAGAGGTCAGAGTAATAAAAGCTAGATATCTCACATCACTGCGTCACTAAGCATGACCACCGCACCACAAACATTTTAGTTCCGTTCACTACACCGCCGCTTCATTTAATTTAATTTTTTACTTTTAATTTTATTAACACGCTTTTTTAATTTCTCCCCCCTTCCCATCATTCCTGTACCTTCATATTTAGAACTTGAATCTGCCAAACGTCGACGAGAACCGTGCGATAACCAATCGAGACGAAATAGATGGATATCAAGCGTACGAAGATTTTGAGTACCAGCGCGCTGGCGATAATTTACCGGGAATAGTGGAAATAGTCGAATTGCACGACCAGTCCAATGAGGATGGAACCGGCGACGGCATAGCGAATGATCCAGATTACGACCCCGAATTTTCGGCGGCGAGGAGCCGCGGTAATGTAGCGCGTAAACGCAAAACAGTTAAGGACAAAGACAAAAGACCCAGAAGCAGATCGAGGGGGCGTAGAACACGGAGTCAGGCGGCCGTTGAAAAACATTCTGAGGAAATATTGGTTGACGAATGATTTCATTGTGCGATAGTAGTCCTGCAACACACTTGATCGCGGGCAGTGATGTAATGATCCTCATTATTAGACCTTTTTGTCGGTGATCAGTACATCTCATACGCGACGTGTTTTTCACAACAGTTGTCGATCTAAAATCATAATAAATCGACGCTTAGGGAACAATGATTCATTACCCGATATGTTTTGTATGAATTAAAGTAATTTTATAACTACCTACTTCACTTAAGCAATAGAAGCATTTTACTTATATCCTTATAGTCTTGGCATATTTTCACGACAAGTGTGTTACTAAAATAATAATAATTCAAGCTATAGTTCTATCACGTTTTAAAATATTATAATCTTCAGGCTTTCAATACGCTCATTAAAAACACTTTATATTCTTTTGTTTTTCTATTTCGTTTGCTATGCGTTGTATTTCAATGATCTCAACTGTTATAAGTTAGTTATGAATAAAATTATGCATTTCATCTTTTCCCTTTTTTTGTCTCAATTAATCTTAATACACCCGAGACACACTGTACATAACAACCAAAAATTTATTATAAACGTAATTTTCTCAACAAGACCTTAGTTTTTTAATGATTAGTCTACCACACCTACATTAGAATTGTTATAGACGAAAATTAATTTTAATTATTCGCATGTTACACTGCGCGTATGAAATGTGTTCTTAGTTCGTAATGTATGACTGAAATAGCGTAATTGTTTTTTGTACTTTTAATAAACGATAGTTATATGACGATATTTTTTATTTTACGTAAATTAGTTCGTTAGATGCTACGTTAAGGGAACACGAATTGATTGCATGTTTTGGTTGCTTACTACACGACGCTTGTAACACTATACATGTAAGTATTTTTGTTTTGCTAACTAGTAATAATACACTAAGCTCTATTTTTATCACCAATAGGGGCTCATTATTGCTACAATTAACTTCTAATGAGTTTCAGTTAAGAATGTAAAACTACTATTTCTTTGAATTATACTTTTCAAGTTTAAAAAAATGGCCGCCTTGGTGGATCAGTTGTTAAACACATTACCTGGTATTGTGTGAATCATTAAACTCATACTCAAACCATTTATCACAGAAGTCTCGTATAATTTGCCTGTAAAAAAATCGACTATAGGAAGAGACACAAAATTACCAATTACATATTATATTTGATATTCAACTATTATTTATATTTAATTCAGTATCCAGCAAGACAATTTTACAATGGATTGGAAAATAAATGAAATTAATAAAAAAAACTGTTTCCAGCTATATGGTACTATGGGTATATTATAGGAATTGCTTTGTGTTTTCTTTATATTGACAAAGATTATTTGTAGGGCGGCGGCGGGCTAGTTCAACAACTGCGCAAGAGTTACAGTTTATCAGATTTAACCGAGTGTGAACCGAGGGAAGAGCATGCGGCGGATGAAGTCGACGATGTGCTTTCGGAGCCGAGGTTATTAAGACGCGCTGTCAAAAGGTGGGTTTTTCCTTATTACAATTGTTGTTTTTATATGACAACAACAAGTGTAATCCTGAAATTTGCTATATATTTTTTTCATTAGTTGTGCCCGCGACTTCGTCAGCGCACAACTAGTGCAAAAAACCATTTTCGGAGCATGCGCGTTAAAATCCCATAAAGATAAATAATATTTGCCGTTTTTTCCACATTTACCGTTGTTTCTTCGCTTTCATTCAGCTGCGACCAATAAATGCTCTACTCATTAGTTGCCAGTAGTTTCTGAGATTAGCGCGTTCAAATTGGCGATTGGACGAAAATCGCTCTTGCTTTATTGGTCTCTGGCATTTACTGTGGTGTTACGTTACTAATTGTATGCTAACACGAGGCAGAGAGGTTACATTGAACTATTTATTTTTACTTTATTTTATCATTTCCACAGCGCTTATGTGACAAGACGCAGTGCATCAGAATCAAACAGTCGACAGCCGCTATACTTTCCTGAAGTGGACGTTGATGTACGTGGACCTAGGCCAAGACTGGATGAACCTGATTTCAGGTAATTGACATTACTAATGACAGAACTACTACTAGGATATTTCAGTTTTATGTCCATAAGTTGAACCTACATGGGTATAAAAAAATTAAAATTAATTCCAATAGATCACGCTTTTAGAACGATCAAAGGTTCTAGCTCCCACCCCATTGCATCAACGATTAATCTAATAAGAACTTTTTGGATTTGTAACCGCACAAACTTAAGTCTCCATTATCTTTATAAGAATATGAGTCTTATTGTTGCCGGTTCATCTTTCAGCCATATAAAATCCACGGAGGACATCAGCTCGGGTTACTCTAGTGCCGACAACTCTGCGTCCCTCACTCGTACTGGCAGTGTGGGTGCATCAGCCAGATCTCGTGCGAGAACCACTCGCACCACAGTCACAACCATCAAGCGACCACAGGCAGCCGAGGTCTGCTGAACTGTATATTAGAAGCCAAGCTTAAAAGCGCCAAAATGTTAAAAAAAATATAGGACCTGACTGAATATCGATAGAATCATAGACACTAAACAGATTATAGCAAATTTATGAACTCCTCGGTATAAAAAAAGTTATTGAATTTCTTTTTGGAAAAAAAATGTTTACAAAATTGAATACATAAATGTTACAGTTCTCTTAACGAAAATTAAAAGACAATAAGGTTTTAATTTTCATTCATAATAACTACATTTTATAATTTACACTATCCAAGATCTTCATGAAATTAATTGACAGTGAGAGTGTTTTATTTCATGAGAAGCTAAAATATTTACTTAATAAAGACGTCTTAAAAGATACTTAGAAGATATTTTTTAACATCTCCATGCTCTTTTAAGCTTGGTGCTTAACTATTTAAAGAATGTTGCGTAATAGGTAACATTGCATTTATAATGGCATATATTTAAGATTTTTTGTATTCAAATGTTCCTAATTATACGTATGTTCCACTTACGTTTATGTATAATCTATATCAGAAGAAAGTGTTACTGTAGGCCTAGAATTAAAACTCTATTTAATCATAGCTTATAGTCACGTCTTCAAGTAATCGTATATAATTCAGGATTACGTGAATTGTTAATATCACAGAAAATTAGATTACACAAATAAGAAGGAATGATTGGCAGGGTAAAATGGTGCTGGTTTCAGATGGTTTACCTATCGTGGGTTTAAAAGTGTAAAATGTGTTTATTGGCTTTAAATACTTAAGAATATAGGATCCCAAAAGACTTTGCATAGCACAAAATAATAGACTATTTTGAAAAATATTTAATAAACAACACAATTTCCTTAGAGCATTTGCTTGTAAGTCTGATGATGCATTTATTATATTTCGTAATAATATTTTAGTTTTATTTTGATTTGGACTTAGTATTTTTATTTAAAGGATAAAGAAGTTATCATCGAGGAGCTTCAGGAAGATGATTTTGATAATACAATGCCTCCGCTCGTCAGTTTATCCTCTCCCTTGTATCTCTCCCACACTGTGCCTCCATTTATCTATCAATATGCTGGGGATAAAGTTAAAATAATCCAGGTTTTAGGTCACTATCCCTTAAACGAAGAGGAAGATACAAGTTCTAAGTATCAAAGGGACCAAAAGAAAGATGACTCAAATGGTATTGATACAATAAATTTAAACACTGATAGTAAATATACTATTCTTCAAGAAATAGACAACAACTGTACTGAAGAACTCGATAATTCAAATAATTGTGCTGCACTTAAAGTCAATACTGAATTTAACACAGAGTGTAGTGAATTAGCGCCAGATAATCAATCAGACGTGACGAATATATTTGTTGATGCAGAAAGTATTTGTACATCTGTAAAGGATAGTAGTTCTGATGATAGTTACGATGAAGCTTCTTTTGGAACTCCTGAACCAACACCAAAATCTGTTAAAAAGTTACTGAAAGGTAAATACGGTAAAAATAAAGCCCCTCTACCACCTAAGAATGAAGACGAGATGGGACATATAATCGCGGAAAATGTAGATAAATTGCCTAATGGCATTTTCGAACAAAACATTGAAATTATGGAAAATATCGAACCCAAGATTCCAAATGATATTCCGGATAATCTTGAAGTAAATTCCAAGCAAAGGAGTAAGTCTAAATCGCCATCAAGATCTACAGTTGGTAACCTTGGTCTTGGTAAATTATTGCAGTTTCCTAACAAACTAGCTTTCTGGAATAAAGGGGATGAGAAGTCAAAATCTGACTTAGCGATATCGCCTGATAACAATAGCAGATCAACATCAGCACTTAATGAAGAATTACAAAGTTGTTCTGATGTTACAAAAGCTTCTAAAGATGACAGTAGGTTAAATCTTAAAGTGGAAGAAAATCAAAAGACGTTAGACTGTTCCGGTGCAGAAGAGAATATAATACATAACATAAAAGAGAAAAGTGATGAATTACAAAAAGTTATTGAAGCTAAATTGGAAAACCATCCAGAATATAAATTTATACCACTAAATGATGACAATAATGGCACGTCGAAAAGTACAGATGTGTAGAACCTTTCCTTTTTCCGTCTTTCTTCACGTCACGCAGCAAATCACCACTGATATCAATTAGTTTTGTGAGTTTTTGCATGGAGTTCAGTCGTTTATTTTAATTTTATTGTCTTTAGTTTTACAAAATGCTACATAACATAATTGCTTCCCCGATAACATAGTTGATCTTTCTTTGTAACTCATATAGAAGTGTATTATGTAATGCCACCTGCCTAACACCTAGATAACTATTGTGTAGCATATATAACTGCAGTGTCGATCAAATGCGATGTGTGTCTTTTATATGTATAATATATATAAATAGATAGACAAAAGTTATGCTTTGCTTCTTATTATTTTAAAGTTTTTTTTTTATTTTCAGGCAGTCCTGTCGGCCTCTTCGACGATACCTCGCGCAAAAAAATCTAGTAAAAGGAAAACTCAATAAACACATTCTTAAAGTATTACGTAATAATAAAACTTGTAAATTATTTTACATGAAATATTTAGCAAGCTTAATTAAGCATGTTTTCATTTAAAAATATGTGCAATTCAAAGGTTACCAATGTTTTGAGCATTAAATGCAAATAATTTACCTAGTCCAGTAAGAGATATGTTTTATGAGAAAATATTCTGAATATTCTATATCATTACCTTTATTATGTCCTAACTATTTGGCTATGTAATTTATATAAAGTGTGACACTTTTCTGCAGGGTGACTTTAATTCGAGAATCATAGTTTAAGCCAAAATTTGCCAAATGTTTAGTATTCTACAACTCGGAATTCAGTAAAATCTTAGCTTAACTAGACTTATGCCTTAAATAAGACACTAGCCCAAAGAGCCTGATTCACAAATGCATATTACGCCATTTAATTAATTTTAACTATGTCAATGTGTGCTCAATCCTCACTTTTACCGAATTGAGTTATTGAAGAATAACAGGATATCGGTTGATGATACATACTAAATAGTTTTCCATCATATTATTGTTATTGTATATCAGTCAGTTTGAAATTGTTCCTGTAAGTAGTTATTAATTTAGTTTAATTAGAGCACAAAAACATTGTTTATTATGTTTAAGATGAGCTCTTATGAGGGCCATCTCTTCCAGTTACATACTTAGTTCTAAAGAATTAAACACAATTGATGTTAAAATATTTTAATGTGCTTAAGGTAATGATGACACATAATTTGTTTTAATGATAATAAACATTTAATTAACTTATTTATTTTTTTTATAAAATCCCTCCACTTTTTAATCTTAAAGTATCAAAAATGTACTTTCCATGATCACTTTTGTATTGATTGTTCATTAACTGGCTTTCTAGTAAATTTAGGGAATCTGTATCCCAGTTTTTGATCCAATATAGAATGGACAACAGTTTGTGATAGTCATAATTACTTTTACTATCACTTATAGTAATGCGAGTCAAATTTCCCACTACATGCAATAATTTTGATTTTAAGATGGAATTGAAAAGATTGTTTTTAGTTACAGCAAACTTATGTAGGATATCAACTGTTTGTCTTGATAAGGACTCCTCAAATAAAATATTTGGCAAAATTTGCAACCACTGCTCAAACAATGTGTTTGTATGGAAATGAGATAATCTATCATTTAATGCTATATTACATAACAATGCAAATATCTGTTCTTTAAATAAGTTTTTTTCATTGTCTCCTAAGTAAAATGTAATTATTTTTTGAAATAGTGTTTCCACGACTGACGTATTCCTAGTCCATCCTGTAATTTCTTTAGAAAAAGTTGAATGTAAAATATTTAGCATTACTTTATTTACATTCTCATCACCTGTTCGACTAAACATTCTTTCAATATAGCCTAATATAGCACTAATTTGCTTCAACTCATGTTTAACATTTATGTGAGGATTTAAAACTATAAATAAGTAACAGATTTGTAAATTTTCAGTAATCAATTTTGGATCGGTTATAATTTCTTCAGTAGTATTTTCTGAATTCTTTACCTGTTTTGATCGTACATTTGTAACATATGGAAAAGAGCTACAAATGTTTTTTGCAAAAGGTGATTTATACTTTTGACAAAACTGTTTCTCTAATTTTGAGCTGGGTGTTCTTTTATTATAATATTTCACAAGTTCCCATATAATAGAGATAACTTCCAATGAATGTTTAAGCAAGAGAGCAGCATCTTCAGTAACAACAGTTTCCATATTACTATCAGATTGAGCATTTGGACTGGCCTCGAGCCATGTTTCAAACAACAAAGTCATTAATGTGTCAACATATTCACTAAATTTTTCTACTTCATCAGACTCTAGCATACTTTCAGTACTCTTCGCTGAGAAGCAAGAAACATGGCAAGTGGAGGTATAGATGGGGTTGAATAGTGAAAAGTAATTAGAGGAATCCTTATTAACCACTATTGTTTTACTAGTTTCTATATTTTCCAAAGTGGATATTTTATTGCATGCTGCAAATTTTTGAAGGAATTCTTTTAAACGATTTAATACTTTTACTCTCCATTTGACACTAGTCATTTGGCTATTCATATTTATTGTTAATGTTCTTCCAGGTTTTGCATCTGTACGTAATTTTGAAATCATATCAAGGAAGTTAGGTATAACTTTGAAAAAATCTTGAGCAGCTTTTTCAGGCACACAAAGCAACAGTATATCTAGAAATAAAAGGGAATCTTCTTGTATTCTATTATCTATATGGGTCATAGCACTTCTCAAGTATGTTGACATTATGTCAAAGAATGGTTCTATTTTCTCCGCTTGTACATTTGAGAGGACCAAATGCAAGACTTTTAGGGCAGAATGGCGCACCTGCAGATAAAAAATCATATGTATAAATTGAACAAAGACAATCTTGTAAATAAGAAATGTTTATCCCAGTACTTACAGCTTTCTCTATATTTAATACTAAGGCGCTGACTCCTTGTATTACCGGCCCCATGCTTTGTTCAAGAATATCTGGATTTGAACTAATGATCTCTTTAATTCCATCAAGAGCATCTGTACGTGATGTAGCGTTAAAATGGTTAAGCCTCGACAATAACTCTTTAACGTTAAGCTTTCTTGTTGACAATGGTTCAGAAAAAGTGTGTTTTTTTAATTGCTCTTTGATAACAATTTTCTTTACCTTGAAGTTAGTTTTCGTAACATTCGTTCCTTTGGGTAACTCAGGATCTTTTTTGCCTTTGAGTTTAGTTTTTGACTTTTCGGCTTTGAGAAATTTTTTATGACGCGTTGCACCAGTTTTATGCATTTTGCTACACTAAACACCAATACTATAATACTAACTTGAAGTGATATCGATAAACACAAATCTTTAGGTTATATTATTATAATGTGACTACTGATCAGTGACAATCATAGAATAATCTGTGGCAATACGTAACTGGATAATTTTATCCTGGTGCGTATTGCCACAGATTATTCTGACACACACAGACAAATCAAAATCACACTAGGCTACTAAACTATTTATAAACTTTTCTGTAACTACTTTATTCTCGCTTTATTGAATCTATAAGAAAATATGTATTTAACTATAAGTCATATATTGTTTCATATGACATGGAGGGTGACTGGGTAGTGTGTAGTGACAACTGACTATGACAGATATTATTGTTACGCCACCAGTTCCGCGCATTTTAAGAGAGTAGTTTTAACTTCGACGGTAATTTAACATTAAAATATCGTTAGTAAATATTCTAATTATAATCGATCACAATGAAAATTAAAAAGCAACATAGGAAGAAGAAATATCTTCACAAGTTAAACCGTAAACGAATGCACATAAGACAAAAAAGGACAGGAACAGTAACATGGTAAGTTACACGTGCGTTAAATAATAATAAACATTTTATTTTGCTGAGAACATATTATCACTTCTATATTTTATTATAGTATCTGTATATTATCCGGCTTAAATTCTTATTTTTAGAAACGAGTTTAAGTGTTACTTGTATGCTTTGAAATATCATTACAATTCATAACCATAGTGCTGAAATTTTTGTTATTATTTCAGTAAAGCTTTGAAGGAAGCATGGAATAACAAAAAGTCGACATTTAAGAATCTACAGGATATGGGATTAGCAAATGATCCCAATAAGGTTATTAAAATTCCAAGTTATAAGGAGGAAAAGTTAAAAATAGCTAAACAAATAGTAAATCCTGATGACACAGACACAAAGGAACCGCGTGTAACTAAAAAAAAGTCTAGGAAAAAGGTTGTTGCAAAAAAATTGGAAGAGGAAGCAAAGGCACCTCGAGAAAGAAGATTTAAGTGAGTATATTTTATTAATAATTGCAAATGGGTGGGAATAGAATTTTGATGCTGCCTAAGTAACTGTGCCGAATAGTTTTTTGCAAGAGGTTTATTGTAATTCAGTTTTGAACAGTAAATTGGTATGTTTAGTCCAAGGCTGGACTTAAATTCTAATGTTTATTTTGATTTAGTATGGCTAATGTGTAATATAGATGAATATTGAGTCTTTATTAAGGGTGAGCCACCTATGAAAGGAAATTTCAATTAAATGTTTACATAGCATGGTTTAACTTTTTTCAGGCTCCCTAAAGGACAAGTAGAATTTATAACATACTTATTAGATAAATATGGCCACGATTACAAGGCTATGGTAAGAGACAAAAAGAACTATTATCAAGAAACCTGGAAACAATTAAGAGCCAAAATCAAAACTTTTATGGGAATTCCACAACAATATGGAGAATATTTGAAGGAGCGAGGATTGTTAGACAAAGAAGAAAATGAAGAGGAATTAAGACAGCAAGCTAAAGCTTTAATAATGGATGATAGTGATTAATTTTGATTCATAACTTTGTTAAAGCCCACACTAAAAAAAATCAACTGTTGTGCATTCTGTTCTAATGTAAAAACAATAAATCTAAGGACAGCATTTATTAAAAAGCAAAATACACAACAAAAGTAATTTTGCTTTGTATGAATATAATACAATTGAGATATGAAGAATAAACCATGTATATTAATTTTTTGTGTTTCCTTAAATAATTACAAATTGATAAAATTTCTTTTTTGTTAAGACTAAATTGAAAAATGAAGTAATACCAGCTGTAAACATGAATAATTGTAGACAGAACAAATGGATTTCATGAACTAAGAATACAAAGCATACAGCAGTCAGAGTCAAAAGTATATGTACACAAATCTGTATTTATTACAAACATAAAAGTATACAATTACTAAAGAACTAAATTTGCAAAAAACATCTATTGCATTTAATATGCATCTTCAATCTGCAATAATGCATCCTTTAAAAAAAATGTGTAGATATAGGGTTACCTATTTTACTTATCCGTTTTTGAATTAGGTACTACATAGATCTCTTGTTTTAATGGATAGTATTAATAAATATATAGATAAAATGTGGCAGTGTTATTCAACCAAAATTTGTACTATTTCACTGAGCTTTACAGTCATTTGGCACGTCTTTCACTGGCTTTACCTTATTCAATTCCTCATACCATTCCTTTTCCATGTCCAATAATTGTTGAGGTTTCTTATACTGGAAATACAGAATATACATCATTATTAATTATTATAATATTTAATAACCAACATAGTGAACTCACCATTACAATTAAAGTATTGTACTTATGCGAAGACTGAATATTAGCTTGTTCTATGTTCAACCCCAGCCTAGTTAACTCAGGAATTGGCAGTTTCTTATAATACTTCTTATTAGTGGTACTTATAATAACACACTTCTCTTCATTATTTGCTTTAATACAATATGTTTCTATTGGATAAGGTAAGTTCCTTATTCTCCACTCTAAATTAACTCTTGTATTACGTCTTGTGACTATAGGCTGAAAATATAGTATTACAACAGTTATATTTTATTATTATGAGACCAAAACTATCAAAAGAAGAATTATAAAAAATATAGTACTTGATCTTTACTCTCCATAATTTCTACAGCCTCAATGTTCTGTACTTCATCAGGAATAGGATCTCCTATTTCTACATCCCATTTGCCTTCACTCCCAAGCTTTCCCTTTGCTTTCCAAGCTCGTCTCAATAGAACTTGAGTGTCAACGTTATATTCCTCAACCATTTCCTTATCGTCCTCAAATTTATAGTGAATTTTTCGGATTTTATCTTCTTTAAGACAAGTCTTCTCCGCGCTTGTGAGTAATTTGTACCAAATTGTATTCTTGTACATGATATTATTTTCTTTATACTTCCTTAACACTTCCTTTTCAAACACAGCTTTGTCGGTTTCAAAAGCTTCGATTAAACAAGCCTTTCGTTTCATGGTTGCTATAGAAACACAGCCTACATTTACGAATTATTTACCAATCAATTTCTGGTATTTCACTGTGATATCATTAAATTGTCTATTGCCAAAAGAAAAGTCGTATAATTAGCTATATCTTGTACACTACACTATAACTGAAATAATTTAGCATTACTTTTAAAGTACTAAAATAATATTATCATACATTATACAAAGTAAAAAACAAATTAACGATGTAACATTCACTGTATCGAATTTGCCAGTACTCTGTATTATGTATATATGTTATAATTACGTGCTTGGCTCTGTTGCTCTGATACCCTGTGACACCGGCTTTAAAAGTTGAGTTACCCGTCATTTAATCGTGAAAAAAAACCTACAGCCAACGTTGACATGACTGGATATGTCTTATGTCATGAATTGTCATCCATCATCCATGTTATGATATATAATTAAATTTGAAACTATAATGTTTATTATATTAATAACATAATCTTTGCACATTCATAACATAATATTTCGATATTTTCTACTCGAAAAGGTTCAAAGATCAAATCCTGTGTTAAAATTGTTACCAAAATTAAGACGAATATTATTTTTGTATAACTAAAGTGGTTGCTTGTTTTCTTGAAAGCCACCGTAAAATGGCTCCAAGTATTCCTGATAGGTAAATATGCAGTATTGTCCCCTTAGAATGCTAACAATAAACATATGATTTATTAAGGTAGGTCGTATTTTTGAGGTTGTAGTTTAACATTATGTTTATGTCTTCCAGATGGATACCATACAAAGCTTTTGGTAAAGTTATAGAAGGTACTAGGATTATATGCTTCAAAGTGCCTTTACGACATGTAAGTTAATATACCTAAGATTAAGTATTTTATATATATATAAATTTTACATCTCAAACGCGTTAAAGCTAAAACAAATGCTTCCTATATAAAGAAACAATTTACTTCCGCTGTTTGTTTGCAGTTGTTTGTGATATACTTATAAAAACAAACCCATTTTACTGCATCATCATTTCATGTATGACATGCAAGTGCTACAGGCCTTCCTAAGTTTGTCAGCTGATTGTTGATATGCGCATTCAAATTTGGTGTAATGTTCTGTGTGAACATTACACTGAATTTCTCTTTCAATTCTAAAACTGAAATTTAAATTGTTGTGCCCTCTCGATTACATTCTTCTGATTTACTTCTTTGAGGTCCTTTCAAGTTTGTTCTTAGAATTCTAAATCTTCTTAAGGGTTATTCTTGCATTCTTCTATGGAACATATTTCCACTTTCCATTATTTAAGCAGGAGTTTAGAAGTGAGTGTGAAGGATCACTGAATTTCATTCTTTTTCGTGTTATTGTTGTGTTTATATGTATAAATAATAGTTCGTTAAAAAGTATATATCCACACCGCCATCTGCTGGACATATTAGGAAATATATGTACCACAAAAGATTTTATGAGTTTATAGCAAGCTTCTTTGATGTACATATAGATGGAAGTGTATTGAGGTCGGGAGAGATTTTTTCAATTACCTTGTATGTATATTATATGTAATATGGTTTAATAAGGACTTATCTTATTCCTTGTCACTATTATAAATTGCGTACCAAATAACACTAGATTTCTTTATATACTTGGTATAGATTTTACCTCCATGGCTTTATGGGTTTCAAATAAACTCCGAAGTTCAAATCCGGCTATGATTTATTTTTCTTTATAAAATTTAATTGACAGAAATATTGAAATAAAATACAATTCTTTTGTTTATACAAATGCGAGGGGTATTGCAAAAGCTGGATTGAAACAGTAAACAAAGTTAACTGTGTGTTTCCATTAGAGCCTATGAAAACATTGAAAATCTATCAGCTAATACAGTGCGGCTATACTTAAATTAGGAGAATTTGCACCTGCGCCACAAAAGGGGAACCGACAATGAAATGCATTATTGAAGAAGTACGTCGCACAATACGTATTTATCTAACTGTAAAGCTGTCGCACTCGACCGCACAGTTATATGACAAACAGACGTACGATCCGTGTTAATTTGTTCTGCATAGCATTTGCATCGCTATCATGTCAATTATTTGATTTTCCTGCACTGAATGATCTGGAGTACTAGTAAAAACATCCGGTCGAAAGCTTTCGCCGATTTGTTTTGGTAAGATAATAACTAATATCTTATATGTAATGTATAAAAACGATTTATCAAAGATAAAGACTTCTTGAATTTAGCTTACTCTCAAACCAAACTAAGCTATGTATGTGATTAAGGAAACAAAGTAAAATTTCTAATGAAAGGTTTTTCATTATTTACACTTTACAAGATAATTTTACATATACATATATTAATAAAACAATATTTGAACAAGTCGAATCCTTTTTTGTAACCTAACCTAATCTAAACCTTGTTAGTTGCGGATGTTTTACAGTATATTTCTCGATTAAATTTAATTAAGATATAAATTCAATAGCTCGTTTAAAATAGTTTTATTTTATATTTACAGTTTAGTTAAAGATAACGTAAGTGACCATAATCCCATTGATAGAGAGGGTGTCTATTTGCTTACCGACTTGTCAAAATATGGGTGCCCCATAAAGAAGTTAACCAACTCCGGCTAATATGATATTTGATAAACCACCTGGTACCTCATACTGTGCTCTATGAATAGAATTTTTTACCTCTGCGCCTTTGCCTTTTTTTAATCCCTTATGCGGCATCCGTGGCGCTTTCTTGTACAACGGGAACCGATCATAAATTTCGATGTTTTGTTTAGTTTGAGTTATAAAGGGATATTACCGTAATGGCAATCGGTAGGTGTAATTTGATATAAGTAATAGCTATCTTAGATTCTTGTTATTTACTGTTTGGTTTCAATTTTCTATTGAGCATCAATTGCTTTAAGATTTTTCGGTGCTTATGCTAGCGAAATTATTGCGAAGTTATTTTTCTACCTTTAAATTGTAATTTAAAATAAATAAGAATACACAGCCAGTACTAAATCTTTCGACTGCTTACCTTCAAATTTTTTTCAATCTAAATTTTTATAAAAAAGACTGTCCAAAATAAATGATTAAAAATGTAAAAATATTTTTTGTTGCAAGCAGCACTTTTTCAGCTTGCTTCATGAGACCAAACGGTGTACATGAGTGTATAAAAGTGATCGTTACAAAAGACTTTCAATTTATGAAATGTTGAATTGCAAAGGCGCCACAATGAATAAAAGTGCTTTACGAGTGTTTTGACTTTCATCGACTTAAGCGATCTCCCAGGCACACAGGCGATGTCAATCAGCTTAATACCTCTTGGGTAATAACAATATTTTCTTTCGCCGATATCATCAGTCTAGCAACGCGCAATTGGCACAACGACATTGATCGCTTGTTTTCATTATGCGCACACACGAAGATGCCTTATAAAGTTATAAACTTGGACATTTCTTATTGTCTGCTTCATTTTTATTTGCTTTGCCCCATTTAAGAGCAACTTGGTGACATATGAGGCTGCCTCTTATTATCTCTTATTTATAGGTGAGGACAATTGAACGTTGGATCGGGTCGTGTGTTTGTTTGTTCCATTTAGGTTAGGAGTAGTTTTAAAATGACTGCATCAACGCTGTGTCAATAATATGAACGAATCAACGTGGAAAATATTAATTGCATGTTTGTAAAAACATAAAATAAAACCACAACAATGTGACGATCAAGTTTTGTAAAAATTGCTCGGGATCCTATAATTTCTAATGCTCGTTACACAGGAACAGATAAATACTGTAACGCCCAAGTATCGTCACCGAAATCAGAATTTCGATGGTGTTGCATTTCGGTTATCAAAACGAATAAAAAAGTCATAAAACCGAATGACACGCTTGGGAATATTGGTTTGACAGTAGTGTGGCAGTGTGGCACGATATCGTCCTCACTTTATTGCACCAACGGCATAAGCCCTAATTCATTGCACTCATGGCTTATCGATTTGTAATGATATAATATTACAGACTCGTAAAATATCAAACTATAATGTGTCGGGCCCATATTTACTATTTCGAATCGGTCTTCCATGTCTTTGAATATTCATTAGAGTGTAAGGAGCCCTTAAACACCAAAGAAAATGATCAAAGCGTTGACTAAAGACGAGACCTTGCTTTCTATGAAGCTTTGATTCAAATTAGTAGCCTATTGAATTCGTGACCTATTTAAACCTATACGAGTTTTCTTTATTTTCAAAAGTACATTGTTGACGCTAGTTTTGATACATTGAAAATTTATTTCATATTAAACTAGCTGTGCCCGCGACTTCGTTCGCGTGGAATTTTGGAGTGACTTGGGGTTAAATTTTTAATTATTTATGCTGATTATTCATTTATGTAATTACGCATTTATCGTAGCCAATCTATGTTGTAAGTGCTACTTTGCCGCAAAACTCTCACCTCACATCACTCCTACCCTCACTCCCACTCCTACCTATTCCCAAAAAGCCAAAAAAAGAAAGTTTTATTGTTCTAACTTCAAAAACCATGCATTTTCATACAAACTTTCACCCCCCTTCCCTTTTCGCAATAAAAAGTAGCCTATGTCCTTTCTCAGGGTCTAGACCATCTGTGTACCAAATGTTTTCATTCAAATCCGTTCAGTAGTTTTAGACAGACAGACAGAGTTACTTTCGCATTTATAATATTAGTAAGGTTTTATAAAATTGATCGTAAATGTATTTCTCCTTCTGTACGTTTAGTAATGAAAAATAAGCTATTACTATCAATGTGCCCAAAAACTTCTCATAGTAATAGGTTAGCGCTGATTTATCAGTGGTGCGGTGGGTGTTATATTGATATTAAATCCGTATTAGTTTGTTTACTCTTTTAATAGCTTTTAGTTCGACTTTGTTTTTATGATCCATGCATTTTCGGTGTGATAACTTATTGTATAAACAATGAAACATCGCATCGAGTCGGTACCCGGCGATTGCGTCAAATGCCGTATTATTCTCAGGTATTATTGGTCTGGTGCTGTCATCATTCATTTTTGTTACTTGTATTATGGTCTTATTCTTATGGAATTCTTCAGTGATGTCACCATCAATTTCTGAATGTGCTAATCTTCAACGCCGTCCACAACGTTCTTGATTTGTCTAAACGAATATAAGCAGTTTATAATAATTGTCCCAATAGAGATAGAGTACACTAGAAGTTGGTAGACTAAGGAAAGGCAGAAGAAAAACAACACTATTTCCATAGAAATATATCAATTGTTCACGACGCGTAAAAGTAACGAACAGTTTTATTACGCTAATTGTCACAAGTAGTCTTACGGTTCACGTCTTTGACTTTCTCTATTATAATAATAGAGCCACGAGTCTTAAATCAATATTATTGAGAATGTTTGATTCTGTCGTCATCCAATTATACTTATTAAAATTTATTGAGTATAACCAATGAATAATGAATAACTAAGTGAGATCCTCTCCTCTGGACCATTATTATTGACATAGTTATACTATGATTTATTCCATTATACAATTTCTTAGCTTTAATTTCTATCACTAACAACCCTTTTTACAGGTACCTAGTCACTTTAATACAGTCATGAATCTAGTGTTGTATGTAAAGTTTAAGTTTTATTATTGCTGTTACATTTGATCATAATTTTTATCTTTCTTTTATTTAAAGACCACCTAAGTTTTAAGTGTATAAATTTTCCTTGTGAGGTCTTATCTTGTGCTTGCAAATGATGCACCAGATGTGGGTGGTTTATGCTTCTATTAATCAGTGACGGTAGTTAGTTGCACGCGTTTTCAATTATTGATATTATTATAGCAGGCTTTTGTCGTGTCCAGCTGGAATATAAACTATTGTTA